ATGTGCTGCCTGTGTGAAACATCTGGCAAGTGTGCTAAATAAAGTCCGATCCCTGCAGTCCGATCCCTGTAGTTCACCACTACAACCACGTGGCCTCTCACAAGACACGCACGCGGGTATGCAGTTATGTGCTGCCTGTGTCGCACATGTTATCTTTAAGGATGGGACGCAGACGCCACGGTTGCACGAGCCAAGCGTAGTTTAAGTAATAAATTCCCATAGTCCGATCCCTGTAATTCACCACTATAACCGCTTGACTTTGCGTTGGCATGTTTATGACGGGTAAGCTTGTCTTTCAGGCATGTTGGCCTCACGCGGGTATGCAGTTACGTGCTGCCTGTGTCGCACATGTGGCCTTCGAATATGAAGTGCCAAATTCACATCGTCTAAGCCCCGTAGTTCACCAACATAATTCCTGTCTTCTCACAGGCCTTGCAGGCGGGTATGCAATTAGGTGCTGCCTGTGTGACACATGTTGTCTGTGAGGACAGGGTCGCACATGCCACTCTTGCAGAAGCCCAGCGTGGTTTAAGTGATTAATTACCATAGTCTGATCCCTGTAGTTCAGGACTATAACCAACCGAGTTTTCACAGGTCTTGGATGCGGGTTTGCAGCTATGTGCTGCCTGTGTCAAACATGTGCCAAGTGTGCTAAATACCACGTTTGCGCAAACCCAGCAGGGTTTAAGTAATAAATTCCCATTGTCCGATCCCTGTAGTTCACCACTACAACCACGTGGCCTCTCACAAGACACGCATGCGGGTATGCAGTTATGTGCTGCCTGTGTCGCACATGTTATCTTTGAGGATGAGACGCAGACGCCTCTCACAAGCCAGGCGTAGTTTAAGTAATAAAGTCCCATAGTCCGATCGCTGCAATTCACAACTATAACCATTTGACTTTGCACAGACATTGGATGGCTATGTGTTGTGCATGACGTGCTGGTCGCTGATGGGTCAAGGACAGCATCAGCGATGCAGACGCCGAGGACATCGCAGATTAAACCGACAAAAAATGAATGCGGCGGGAAGGATGTAAGGGAGGACGCAGACGATAGGATAGGCAGGCATCGTTGACGCAGGTTTCGAATCATTTGTGTTTTGGGTGGTTGGTTCAAATCGTAATTCCATCGTTCGTGCGGTTGTATGTTGATAACCTCCATAAAATGACCACCGTGACTTTGATTAGTGTGACCATACCTGATGTGACTGTGACTGTGACTATTCTGACCATGACTACTGTGACCTTAGATACTATGACAAAGACTACTTTGACAATGACCGTTGTGGCTGTAACTGTAGTGACAATGAGTATTGTAACTGTTTGGACTGGCCCCTTTTTAGGTAATGACAGTGGGAAGTAAAGTGACGGCATTAGTGTCCCTGGTTGTGGCTTCAGTAGTAATGTTAGACGTCGGTCGGTTATGGCTCACAGAAACAGACATGATGTTTGTTGCCTACGCATGTGTTATGGGTAACAGAAACAGACATGATGTGTTTTTGGTACATATGCATTCGAGAAATGCCATTGCTAACACATGTTTCTGCTTCAAGTAATTGAGAAAGAATTGTTTTGGACATGTGAGCAACTTGTGGTTCCACTGTTCGTTCGGTGTTTTGGCCCGCGGACATGATTATTGTCTTAGATCATAAGGATGTGAATCTCACCATTATTCTTGTTTTAGAGCAGCAACTCGTAGTCTTCTCACAGGCCTTGCATGCGGGTATGCAGTTAAGTGCTGCCTGTGTGACACATGTTGTCTGTGAGGACAGGGTCGCACATGCCACTCTTGCAGAAGCCCAGCGTGGTTTAAGTGATTAATTACCATAGTCTGATCCCTGTAGTTCAGCACTATAACCAACTGAGTTTTCACAGGTCTTGGATGCGGGTTTGCAGCTATGTGCTGCCTGTGTCAAACATGTGCCAAGTGTGCTAAATACCACGTTTGCGCAAACCCAGCAGGGTTTAAGTAATAAATTCCCATTGTCCGATCCCTGTAGTTCACCACTACAACCACGTGGCCTCTCACAAGACACGCACGCGGGTATGCAGTTATGTGCCGCCTGTGTCGCACATGTTATCTTTGAGGATGGGACGCAGACGCCACGGTTGCACAAGCCAAGCGTAGTTTAAGTAATAAATTCCCATAGTCCGATCCCTGTAATTCACCACTATAACCACTTGGCTTTGCACAGGCATTGGATGGCCATGTGTTGTGCATGACGTGCTGGTCGCTGATGGGTCAAGGACAGCATCAGCGATTGGGATCGACTCTCGCTTGACTGCCAAGGGCTGGGTGTGCGTTGTTATGAACCGCATCCGAGTTTGAATTGCTGTCCTTCAGTAGCTTCGCCTTTCATTTAGCCTTGCGAACCGCAGAATGCCTCTGTCACTTGCTTTTGGTTTATGTGTGCGTTGTTACGAACCGCACAAACAACCATGATCGTATTGCATACATGTGAAAAAACAAAGCTGTCGTGGGAGCGAGTCAATGCAAGGTCTCACTGAGATCCTCTCAATGCCTTGTGCAGCATGGGTTGGAGTTTTGTGGTTTGTTGAATGTATGACTTTCTGGAGCCATTTTTTTTTCAGACATCAGACCCAAAGCTCTATGATTTTCTCCATTTTGGCGCTAGTTTTTTTTGTTGCACGTAAGTTTAGAGCAGTTGGACGTGTGGGGCGTGAAGTGTGGAGTGTGAAGTTTAAGTGTGGAGTGCGAAGAGCGTAGTGTGAAGTGTGAGGTTTGGAGTGTGAAGGAAGCAGTGAGAAGTGTGAAGTGTGGACTGTGAAGTGTGAAGTGTGAGTGAAGTGTGGAGTGTGAAGTGCGAAGTGAGAAGTGTGAAGTTTTGGAGTGTGAAGTTTGGAGTGGGAAGGAAGCAGTGAGAAGTGAGAAGTGTGAAGTGTGGACTGTGAAGTGTGGAGTGTGAAGTGCGAAGTGAGAAGTGTGAAGTTTGGAGTGTGAAGGAAGCAGTGAGAAGTGAGAAGTGTGAAGTGAGAAGTGTGAAGTGTGGACTGTGAAGTGTGGAGTGTGAAGTGCGAAGTGAGAAGTGTGAAGTGTGGACTGTGAAGTGTGGAGTGTGAAGTGCGAAGTGAGAAGTGTGAAGTGTGAAGTGTGAAGTTTGGAGTGTGAAGTGTGGAGTGTGAAGTGCGAAGTGAGAAGTGTGAAGTGTCAAGTTTGGAGTGTGAAGGAAGCAGTGAGAAATGAGAAGTGTGGAGTGTGGAGTGTGAAGTGTGAAGTGCGAAGTGAGAAGTGTGAAGTGTGGACTGTGAAGTGTGGAGTGTGAAGTGCGAAGTGAGAAGTGTGAAGTGTGAAGTTTGGAGTGTGAAGGAAGCAGTGAGAAGTGTGAAGTGCGAAGTGAGAAGTGAGAAGTGTGGAGTGTGAAGTGTGAAGTGTGGACTGTGAAGTGTGAAGTGTGAAGTGTGGACTGTGAAGTGTGGAGTGTGAAGTGTGGACTGTGAAGTGTGAAGTGTGCAGTGTGGACTGTGAAGTGTGAAGTGTGAAGTGTGGAGTGTGAAGTTCGAAGTGAGAAGTGTGAAGTGTGAAGGAAGCAGTGGGAAGTGAGAAGTGTGAACTGTGAAGTGTGAAGTGTGGAGTGTGAAGTTTAAGTTTGGAGTGCGAAGAGCGCAGTGTGAAGTGTGAAGTGTGAGGTTTGGAGTGTGGAGGAAGCAGTGAGAAGTGAGAAGTGTGAAGTGTGGAGTGCGAAGAGTGCAGTGTGGAGTGTGAAGACTTTGCTTCGTCTCTCGCTGAAAAAAAAAAGCCGCTTGTCGAGGGAAGGACACGGTCGGGACAGGCTGGCGTCGAACTATAGGTCATTTATTCTTGGGAAACTTCCGCCGCCGGCTTGCCCGGGTCTATGTGATAGATAAGATAAGATAAGATAAGATTAGATTAGATTAGATTAGATAGATAGGTAGGTAGGTGGATAGGTAGATGGATGGATGGATGGATGGATGGATGGATGGATGGATGGATAGCTCTATATATATATATATATACATGATATAGTGAAAATCCAAGATATAATAATCCAATGTAATTTAAGATATGATATCAACCAAAAGTGGATAAACCAAAAAAAAAAAACGTGATACACTATTATCATATTTGATATTATATATACATATATATATATGGTAACCCAAAAAAAAAAACGGATAATCCAATGCACCAACCTAAAAAAGGATTTACTATGGCTTGTTATGGTTTGTTGGCATATGTTTGGATCAACAATGCTCAATAGTGTTCAATAGTATTTAACAATCTCTGGGGTTTATATATATATAATATATATATAACTATATAACGAACAAAAATATGGCTGGTATACTCCCAGTTGTGGCTAGTTTTATGGGGGAGATGGTGATTAACCAGTGAATTTATTTTGAGACAAACCCCATGTTCCCCGACTTTGGCGGTGCAGTTTCAGTGAACTAAGTGGTTTTTTTAACCACAGTTACAAGATGTTATAAAAGTAATATCCCAACTGATGGGGGTTAAAACCCGATGGTTTTACCCAGTACTAATCCCAAGTACCGAAGAAAAATATGGTAAGATGAAGCCACGAAGCTGATTGCTATGTCAAAAAAAGGCGAAAAACCTCTCAGCGCCTTCTTTTTTGTGTCCCCTTTATATCATTTTTATATATCTCTATATTAGGCTATGGGTCAAAACCCTTCAAAACCCGGATGGTAGCCATCCAAAGAGCTGGTGAAAATGGATGGTTCCCCCAGTCAGATGATAACTTCAACCAACCACAAGGCGGCCCAGGGACGTCCATCCACCGTTCGAGAGCCTCCAGCTGTGATTCTGCCTGCCGTAGTTGAAAAATGCTGATCCTCCATGTTGCTACAGTAAATCCAAATATGTTTGATACCAAAATTCCTATTCTTACGAGTAGATCAAGTCAAATTTCTATCTTTCATGGTAAAATCCTGTAAAATCCATTTAAAATCCATTAAAAATCCATTAAAAATCCCCATGTTTCATCATTTTTCATGGTCAAAATCCACCCTTTTCTGCCTTTTTCAACGGTGGGGTCAACTGCTTCCGCACCTCCTTGCTGAGTCTGGCCAGGGCCATGTCCGCAGCCTTGTGCACCAGGAGCCCCAGCGGCGGCGGCAAGGGGAGGAAGATGGCCGAGACCTGACCCGTTTCGTGCGTTCGGAACTGTCGGCTGGACTTTTTTTCGGAAACTTGTTTTTTTCAGCTGTTCAACGAGAATTTATCCGAAAAATCCGATAAATTGAAGATGATTGATCGTCAATGTGTCAATGATTCAAGCTTTTGAAAATCTAGGATTCGAGCGATTTACTCATTGAAAGTAGGGGAATTAGCGACTTAAAGAACTTTAGTGAGGTCATGGTGACGTCTGTATAGCTCCACCATAAAAAGGCACACCTTGATGGCGTAGAGCCCAAATTTCAGGGCGAACACCTTGGCGTCCTGCTGACAGAGCGGAAACCGCTGTTTTTTGCTGGATCTCTAAAAAGATGCTAATAGATCTATATAATGGATGGTGAGAGAGGAAACAAACGACCAAACTATCAACAAGTGAGCGATGTTGATACAAGGAACAAGCATTCGTTGACTATCGAAGAAAACGACCAGTTATGTTTAATATACAAAGGAAACCCAATTATATATAAACTATCTACGAAAACGACAAGCTATGATAAGTTGCAGTCTGTTTAACTATGGCCTAATAGGATTTATACACATATTGTCGACCATTTAATCATTTAGGAAGTGTTTCACCTTAAAAACATGGGATTCTTCAGAAGATACGGCGAACATCTATGAGGGACCCAGGGACCCCCCCCCCGTCCTGCTGTCGCGCCGTGGTGGCACAATCTTCCAATCCACCCAGTATGGAGTTCCCCGCGAACTGACATTGCAGCAACTCGGTATACGTCCTCCGGGAGGCGAGTGGCGCCAAGGGAGGTCGTTTCTTGAAATCCCTGTTTGTTTCTTGATTAAAGCCAAATTGAATAGATTTTACTAGTGAAATCATGTGAAATCATGTGAATCCCCCTGTTTTTTTGGTGAAATCCAAACTGTTGATATATATATATATATATATACTCTGGCAATGAAATTGTCAAGTTTGGCAGTGGAAAATCCACTCCTTCTTTGGTACTTTGGTCAACCCGTGACATTGTAAACCATTGATTTTTTGCTTGTTCCAGAAAGCGATGGGTCTTTACTATGTGTTTGGCGACGAATCGACAAAATATTAGTATATGTGTATATATAATATGTTTCTGGGTTTTAAACCAATTTGAGATTTCTCAAACATATCCAAACATAGTTGATTCAAACATCCCCACATATATCCGAGTACCTTCAAATAATTCAACTCTACGAATTGTGATTTTTCAGTCTCATTGAGTATACCAATATGTAATATTCATAGTTGGAATATGTTGGAATCAAATGCAATTAAATCTCATCTAACCCCGTGGTAAATCTATAAGATCTACCCTCTGGTAAACTAACATGGCCATGGAAAATCACCATTTTAAATGGGTAAACCCAGGTAAACCATCTATAAATGGGCCATTTCCATGGCTATGTTAACCAGAGGGTAAATCTCTCCGCGCGACCAACCAAGGTCACCTCCTCGCTACCAAGGCGCATCTCATTCACCGTAAACAGGTTCAAGCCGCCACAGAGGAATTGTGCGAAGAAGGGATCAGAGACATGGACCTTAAATGGTGCGACGTTGCGAGTTAGCCTCTGGTAAACACACCAAAAGCTATTGAAAATGGCCATAGAAATATTTGATTTACCCATGAAAAATGGTGGTTTTCCATAGTTTTTTGTATGTTTACCAGAGGGTAGCAACTTTTGGAGCTGTCATTGAACTTTTTCTGTCCTTCCGAACAGTCAAAATGGCGACTTACCAATGATCCAACAACAAATAAGGACTTCAAACCCCAAAAAATGGAAGGTTTTTGACCAACAAGAACGGTGGTTCAAACAATCAGTAAAAATTGAGTCTTAAGTTTTAAGCAAGAAAAATGACAAGTCTTGACTAGCCAAAATGTGGATTTCTTAGCCCCCAAAATGAGGATTTAACAAGCTAATATGGGAATTCAACGCCTCAAAAATAAATAGAAATGGGGACTTAATCAACAAAGGGATTTAATCAACAATCCTGGAGGTATCCAGAAGTGAGAAATTATCAACATCTATGAAGAATCCACCCTCAACATCTATGAAGAATCCACCCTCTTGGCCCTAGACATTGTCGCAAGCCAGCCTTCCCAAAAAGGCAGTCGAATCAAGTTCACAAGGAATGTATCTTCCATAGCCTCTGGTAATGATGGTTGGAAATTTCATATCAATGCTATGGCCCAGGCCTATGTCATTCTCTGTCGATCTATTTCCAGAATTTTGAGATTGCGAAATCTATCAATCTACCCTCTGGTAAACTAACATAACTATGGAAAATCACCATTCTTAATGGGAAAATTCACTATAAATGACCATTTTCAATAGCTATGTTAGTTTACCTATCAATCTATCAATTCCAATGATCCGAAAAATCGGAGTCAACGAACTCGGTCTGCTGATCATTGATTCATTGTCTGTTCGGATCAGTCAAATAAATTCAGACCACTGCGTTACAAGTCTATCTCAACCCATTTTCAACCATTGAAAAACCATTGATTAACCATTGATTAGCCATTGATTAGCCATTGATTAGCCATTGATTAGCCATTGATTAGCCATTGATTAACCATTGATTAGCCATTGATTAGCCATTGATTAGCCATTGATTAGTCATTGAAAAACCATTGAAAAACCATTGAAAAACAATCCTTCCCCTTGAAAATTAACATAAAATGCCCGTCAGGTCACGTTGATCTTGCTAACGACCTGATCCGCGTCCTCCTCTTCGCACACATCCTTCATCTTCTCCAGGAGCTTCCTGGCGCAGAAATCAGATTTTCTCAGCGCAGGATGGCTCTTGTTTCACTGATGCCCCAAGCAGAAAATCACCCAAAGGTAAGAAAGACTATGATATATCATACTTATATATATATATTAATATATCAATATATACTGGTTGGTGGTATACCTACCCCTCTGAAAAATACTAGTCAGTTGGGATGATTGTTCCCAATAAATGGAAAAATAAAAAATGTATAAAAATGTTCCAAACCACCAACCAGTATATATATACATATATCAAAGAAAAATAAGAAAAAGAATCTAGTTGTTTGGTTCCACAGTTGCTTGGTTCATTTTGGTTCCAAAGAAATGCCCTTCCCTTAGGAATCATCATCTCAAAGACGGAAAACAAAAGCCCCTTGGCAGCGATTTTGTTGCCAGAGCACCAGGATCTTAAATGATCTTATATAATATATATAATTATATATAAAATTATATAAACTCAATATATATATATATAAAATCATATAAACTCAATCAGCACCATGGAAACCAAGCTTCGTGGTGTTTTCATCCTTCCCTTCCTTCTCGTGCAGCTCGCCACATTTCCTGAACATAGCTAGATCGAATGCCCTCCACTGGATTAGCGGCCATACAGTGACAGGCAGCAAATCAAAATCAAAAATCTTCAAAGATCAACCTCGAGGATCTGCAGATGAACTCTATTCATCTGTTTAAATATTAATTATATGGGTGTGTCTGAAAATGTTGTGTACCCCATTTTCCCAATGGTTTTGCTGATCATTATCCCTATTAAATGGCTATTTCATTGGGAATATACCCTATTTTCAGACAAACCCATATATTATTATATTACCATGGATCTACAGTAACAAATTCCAGTTTTGAGATTCGGGATGATTTTGGGCCAGTTCCTTACCAGACATCCATGGGTTCAGTATCCCAATCACCTCGGGTACGAGCAACTGGCATCCCGTTTAACCTCTACAATCAGGCATTTACCCTCTGGTAATTTAACATAGCTATTGAAAATGGCCATTTATAGTGGATTTTCCCATTAAAAATGGTGATTTTCCATAGTTATGTAAACGTTTACCAGAGGGTACTGCTTGACATATCTTGACATTCTCCCCAAGCTACCGGCTCCACATCTCACGTTTGAGTATGTTATCATGTTTGCATCTCCCCGTGTTTCGTGGTTCATAGAGGCCTTTTTGCTGGTGAATATCATGTCCATTCACATCTACGATATCTCCCACCAATTTGTCTGGTTTCATCCAAACATATCACCCCAGAACTGCCCAAACCATCCCCAATCAGCTTGCAACCAAGCAGTCATAATCGAGGTGTCCATACCCCAATCACCAGCCCCCATAAGCCCAGTTCCAGCTGCATTTTTCAGCCATTGTTGTGCTTTCAGAAGAAAAAAAACACCAAAACTGCAGAAAAACATCCCCACCAAACATCATCTAACCACATGTTTTTGGCAAAACAACTCATCCATGACGGAGGAGATAGGCGGAGGCCAAAAAAAAAGTCCGAAATGATCCTAATCAGATCTCATCCGACATCCCCAATCATCCTCCAAGTGTTTTTCCAGTTTTCATCCCAGCATCTCCTTGGTGAAATTCGCCATGTACATGGTGAGCTCCGAGACCCCCGCCGCCTCCTCTGCGTCCTGCGGCTCGAAGTCGCCCTCGCTGCGGTCGCTGCGCAGCCGTCGCAGGCTGCGGCGCAGCAGCGCCAGCGACCCATCCAGGTCCAGCGCAGCGCCCGCGTCCAGGCTGGGGCGCACGGCCGCCGGAAAGAGGACAGGCCAGAACAATAGCAGCGAAAAGGAGTTTCTCATCATCTTTGAGGTGCCAAGATGATGTTTTTTGGTGGCAGGTTGAGGATCCGGTGAAAGTTCGATGAAGTTGGCAAACTACCGCAGCGCCATCTGGAGACCGGAGGCGGGGAAAGGATGATGCGGAAGAGATGAAAAGCATCAGAAACGATATCTGCATTGCCAAGTCGTTTGTTCGAAATCACATGAAATGACTTGAAATCGTGTGTCCCTCAACGTCCATGCGCTCACCCAAGGAACAATGAATTACATGGAAAAAAGATGAAAAAAGTGATTATATGATTATCTCAATCTCCTACTGCTAGTACAGTATGTAATACTACACATGGACATGTTGGCTTCAGGCTTCCAACTATGCTGTTCCTGTCCAGCCCGGAGCTGCCAAACGGCTGCAACGCCAGTGGGGCGGAGGCTTCACGCCCGGCAACGGTGCACACAGTAATTTCAGATTTGAGGTCTACGGTATTACACCATTTTCAGACACACCTATGCAATTCATCATCATCACCATCACCATCACCATCACCATCATCACCATCATCATCATCATCATCATCATCAAAACCTTTTGTAAGTTCCGTCTTGGAAGGTCCGTTACATACATGGTTCATCATGCTTCTGGATTAAGAATGACGTTAAGGAAGAATTGTCGACCAACAAAGAAATTGCCGGTCGATTTGATTGTTAACTGGGTTTCTGAGGGTTTCTGATCAACAATCACACACGCCCATTGTGGCGTTATGGCGTGGTTAATCGTGGTTATCACCCATCGTTCGCAGTGACAGGGCGTGGTAATTCACCCTTGAAAAAAAAAAAAAACTCATTTTGGACAACAAGAATTCAATCTTTGCTAATTTAATAGTCATCGCCATTTGTTTCACCTGGCTTCCAATGCAATACACCCACTGGAATTCCCCATCTGATCGACCTGCAGTTCCAGCTCTTTGGCGCGCTGGGCGCGGAAGGTCGCAATGTCCTCGGGTTTCTTCCATTTGGACCTGAACATGTTTGCTTCTTAAAATAGCCAGTAGGGCAGGGGGTAAAAAAATGGGGTAAAAATACCACTGCAAATTGTCCCTTAAAACAGTTCTGGGAAAATGAGTATGACCATGCCTGTATGAACAATACGACGAAAATGGTGTTGCTAGACATGGGTTAGGTGACCATGAACCTGGGTTGACCTAACATGTTTCAACCATCCCCACTTGGATGGTTTATGGCATTGGGTTGGCTGTTTACTATCCACAACTCACCAACCATGTAGCACTGTTTCAGTGACCAGAAACTTGGGAACTCCCGGGCCCACGCCCCAAAACTGGGTCTCCGGGTCCTGCCACTGCGCCAGCTGTTCCTTCAAGCGATCCATCTCTTGCGATTGGCTGCTCAGGGACGACCTGTGAAAATGTCGACCCATTTGGTGATCCAAAAATGTGGCCCAACAAGGATGATCCAATTTTTCGGGTATAGTCCTATAACCTTCCGAAAATGATGATGATATATAGCTGATATATGATGATGATGATGATGATGATGATGATGATGATGATGGTGGTGGTGGTGATGATGGTGATGATGGTGATGATGGTGATGATGGTGATGATGGTGATGATGGTGATGGTGGTGATGATGATGATGATGATGATGGTGATATATTTGTATATATATATGATATATGATGATCAATGATGATCAATGATGATCAATATTAATCAATATTAATCAATGATCGGTTTGAATTGGAAGACCTCATGACAATTGATATTGTCAAAAAGCCAGGTGAGTTTCAGCGGTCAAAGTCAGGGGCTCATGGAGCAAAATGCCCTGAATATATCCTGAGTCAGAAACTGGGTATCCAAAGATTTGGATGAAAAAAAATGCATATCTAATTGATTTCAAAACCATGGTTTTTTTTGCCCCTCCCCACATCTTTTCGTGGCCAAGAAGTAGATTTGGAAAGGCCTTTCAGAATGTCACTGAGATTTCCATCAAAATGGGATTCATCCCAATGAACAAGGCAGGAATCCTTCCCCAAAGTCATATTTGATATTTCAATATTTCAATGGATTGGTTTAAGGGAAAATCTTAACCGGAAACCATGGATTTTCCCGTGAAATATGGGGGTGTCCTGCAATGTTTCCCTTAAACCAATCCATTGGATATTGGGAAGGGGTCACAATTGTCGGCAAGATGGGATTGCAACTCACAACTACAATTGCTGATGCGATATATGGGACATCGTGACATCATCAGGTCCAGTCCGAAAGCGGAACATTCACGATTTCATTGGCCAACCTGTGGCCAAAATGCCAGAGGATCTCTGCAATGCCTTTTCTCTTAGTATCATCTCATTATAGTGGCTTATTTATAGGGGTTCCCATACTGGGTTATAGAAACCACTAGATATGTATATAACTATATATAACTATAACCCCTTGGGTAGTATGATAACATGTGATAATCCCTACATATGTACTGTAACCATCTTTAACCCATGACATAACCCCTATTATAGTATCCCAATATAAGTTGTATATGTAACCCCTATGATCATCTACCACATGGCATTTTTTTTATCACTGCCCATCCCAACTCCAATCCCCTCAGGGGACCCCAAGATGAACAAATGCACCACATGCCACTAGAGATTCTCTGGGGAACCATTAGAGGGTTAGGTTCATGTGTGTATATTTATGCTGCTGTATATGTTCAATCTTGTTCAATCATGTTGTATCTGGAGTGGGTAATTAGATGAATCTAGCTATCAATGTATATCGAGGCACAAATAAACGATATATATATATATATGTAGCCTATAGAGAAGTGTGAGATGACGCACACGTTAGATGCAAAGGTCAACATACTATGCATACGTAAACGCGTCCGATATTCAGTAAGTCTTTATATTCCGTATATCATATCCTTCTATCTAATTAAAGCGTATGTGAAAATTATTACCCACATATGGGTTTGTTTAAAAACTGGGTTTCCTACGGTTTCCTGTACCTCCAAAAAAGGGATGATCATTTTCCCAAAAAACACCTAGTCAATTTGAGGTGGGCCCGCCTCTGCTCTAAAAGCGCCCCTTGCGCATCCTGAAGCTCACGCCTCAGTGAGGACACTCAGGAGGTCCAGCATGCTGAGTATCTCCGCCATGTCAGCCGCGTCCAACCGCGATTTTTTGATAGTCTACCGTTGAAATTTTGACATGATCAGAGTTACCTCTGTGGAGAGTATATAAATTGATGTTTGGCAATTCAGCAAAAAATGCATCTAAATAGTCATTCCCTGCACCACTGCATACCATCATCAATCCCCTCCATACCATACTTTGACCCTGGTTTATCCCCATGCTGGTTCATCCATGTTGATCCCATTCAAATGGCAATTTCTCGTCGTGAAAAAACCATGAAAAACCCTTCCAGAGTAATCCCATGAAATCCCGATAAATCCCACTAAATCCTATAGATACATTAGTAACACATGTTACATGTACATTATATATAATATAATATAATATTATATTATATTATATAATATTATATTATATAATATTATATTATATTATAGATATTATATTATATTAATTATATTATATTATATTATACATATTATATTATATTAATTATATTATATTATATTATAGATATTATATTATATTAATTATATTATATATATATTATTATTATTATTATTATTTATTTTTATTTATTATTATTATTAATATTATTATTATTGTTATTATTATTGTTATTATTATTAGTAGTATTATTAGTATTATTATTATTAATTATTATTATTATATATATTTATTATTATTAATTATTATTATTACTATTATTATATATATATGTATATATTATGACACCATAAACCCAACAGTCACTGGAGTTACTCTCTCTGGTAATTTAACATAGCTATTGAAGCCATGGCCCATAGAAATAGGTTCTATTAACCTTTTTTTTATTGGTGCTATTTTCCATAGCTTTTTGTATACCAGACTGGGTATAAATCAAATGCTGGTTGGTGGTTTCAACCCTTCTGAAAAATATTAGTCAGTTGGGAAGGATTATTCCCAATATATTGGGGAAAATAAAAAATGTTCCAAACCACCAACCAATATATATGTATATACATATCCATAATTTCCATAATCAGACTGGGAATTAATGTTTTTCCATAGCTTTTGTATCCATAAATCAAATGAATCCTCCCATCCCATCTGGGACGTCCCCGCACGGCAAACTGCAGCTGCCTCTGTCGCTCTCGCAGCCGCTGGCTGTCCTTGAGGAGCCAGCGCTCCTGCACCGAACTGGGGACCGACCAAGGAACTTCACCAGGCGACTTGGGAGTTTATGTAAGGGATTTCATAGATAAGGGTGACTCCACCAGGCATCTTGAATTGAAGCCTAAAATCTGGAAGTTAAGCATATCTAAGCATTGAATGTGTTGGTTCAAGCTGCAAAAAGTATCAATTGCCCGACAAAATGGTGTATGACAAAAATAGATATGACCAGCAAAGCAAAAACAAGTGAAGGTTAATGAAGGGGTTAATGAAGGGACCAACAAGATAAAGTCTAGTCTATCCCCAGTAGTAGCATGGTCTCTGATGCCAGATGATCTTCGTAAGTGGTCAGTGACTAGGATTGTACTCTCAGGGCATTGGTTTCAACCCTCCTAATACCATGGGGACTGTCGTTGCACCAGTCTGACTAGGACACCAGCATCATGAGATTCGCCCAACAAAGATCAGGAAATTGACAAAAGTAACATGAGATGTAAATATACAGTATACATGTGTACATATAAGCAAACGTAAAGAATAAATCATAGAAACAAAGCCAATAACAAACCATACCTAATTGGACCCCTTTTAGGATGTTTAATGCATTGCTGGGCCACTAGTACTGAGGACTGACAAAAGGCTGGTTTTCCCCATAACTTTCATGATTCCAACTGTTCATCCTATGTATATTATATATATATATCCATACATACATATACATCCA